TGTACATGTATGTAATGTAATTATCACTGTTTTTGAAGTAATTAATGACACAACAATATAAAAAATGTATCATTGTGAAAAAATCTGCAAGAAAGTAGTAGTTTAACTATTTACCAGTCGCTTTTGAGCCATTCTTCTTCACTCTTAGTTCTTATATATTTTTAATTTCAAAAAAAAAAAAAAAAAATGTGTCTCTAAGTCACATTAGAAGCACTTTATTTTCACCATTAATTTGCTATGTTGCCAATATTCATTGCCAAAATTTGAACGCAACCGTTGCTGAAGGGATTTTTAATTAAAATTCTGTTATATTTTTACTCTAAATTTTACCTTGGAAATTTTTGTGTACCTTATCATGTGAAAGTTATTATATTTTTAAATTAAAAAAAATTGAGCTCTGTGAAACCAAAAAGCTACTTCGAAATTGGTATGTTTCCAATTTTCAATCCGATTCAATTATAATTTTTTTTGTAAGAAACTAAACTTTTTATAAAAAGTTTTGTTACATTTTTAATTAAAATTATAGAGTCGCCATTTTCACAGACTTTTCCGCTATAAATTTATTATTTAGAATTTCGTAGCATGAAACTTATTTTGTGCTGTGTTGCCAATTTTCATTTTCTTCCTGCATGCATTTGTTATAGATGAAGTTAATTCCAGTTTTTAAATAAATTTATAATTTAAACTTTTGCCAGCACCTGAAACAATGTTGAAGGCGAGGCGTTATAATGAAAATACGAATATTTATGCACTTTGTTGCCTATTTTCATTTTAATTGTGCACACATTTTTTGTCATTAATCATAAATTAACCAGTGACTTAAATATTTTGAAATATGGCATAATTATGAAACTATTTCAGTACCATGTTGCCAATTTTCACATTCATTCACTAATCAAAAATTGGTAATTTGAACTTCTACAAACAGTTTAAACATGTGGAAAACGTGGAATTATCATGAAATTATTCATGGGCTATGTTGCCAATTCTCCCCTTTTTTCTTATTATAGTAATAATTTGATTTTCAAATTATAATAACTGAATAATGAGTATTTATAAATTGACTAACCGATAAGAGATATATTTCAAATGTGTGAAAATTATAAATAAACAAACCGATCTGAAATATAAAATAACTTTGGAAACTACTACAAACTTTATGCTTTATATAATATGTAAATAAATGTGTAAATAATTTTATAATTATTAAATACAACTCAGTTGGCCACATAAAAAATTATAACACAAATTTTTGACATCAATTCAAAAAAAATTACTATAAAAATATGAAAACAAGCAAAGCTGGCTTTATTAACACCAACGAACGACTTTTAAGTAAAACACAGATGTAAAAGTGGAGAGAACATGACAGAACTAGTGTTAAATTGTGAAAGCTACAAAAAATATAACAACAGTAAACAGATACTCAGAGAAATAAAGTGGTTAGAAAATTACCAAAAAATACAACTGAAAACAAGACAAAGAAATAACATACAACGTATAGAGCTAAAAAAGTACGAGAATAGATGAAGAAACGAACAGGCGAACGAGCGAGCGAACGAGCGATAGTAAAATACGAGTTACTGTAATTACGTTTGAGTTTTATATTCGGAAAAGAAAATATGTTGTTCATAATGCTTGTATTTTTTTCTTCTAAATAAAAATGCTATTTTATGTTTTATATTTTCATTTTTTTTTTAAATTAATCATAATTGTTTGCTTTATTTAAAAAATGAAATTAAAAATTGTTTACTTATTAATTTAACTAAAAATATGTATACATATTTAATTATATAATATGCAGTATGTTTATATATGTATATAAAAATATTAAAAAAACCGAAAACAAATTAAAAACATAGTTAGAGAGAGATAGAGAAATGGGGAATGACAAGTGGGTGTGTGTGTGTAGATGATAGAGCGAATAGACCGTAACGAAAAACTATTAATTTCTATTAAAATGATAGATAATCAATATTTATTAAGCAATATTTTTTCAAGTTTCTTCACTTAAGCTGTTTTGATAAACTTTTTTCGGATACACTTAATGGTAAGCTGTTTTACATAACTTTGGAAGTATTTAATTATTTAATTTTTATATTTTACATGAAATTTATGCACACACAAAAATATAAAATACAACAAAATATATGCAAAATTGGTTAAAATATTAAATTTAACTGCTGTGGATGTAGCAGAGGGTGACGACTGTGCTTGGGCTAATTTCTCTACATCAATATTTTTGTTTTTGTTTTTAGAATTTACTCAAAATAGCTGTCATTATGTTTTAATTTCATGAAATCTTTATTTATTGATACACATACAACTCGCGAAAAATTGTATTACAGCAATGTCAAGCTTATACCAGGCCTTATGATTGCCTCATATTATATATAAATCGATAGACAAGCAATGTTATCGTCAGAGCTAAGTATACAAAAATTAAGCGCCGTTAGAAAGTTTATTATCAATGTCGCACTCAAATATTTTAGATATACTAATTTTTACAATAAATCCTTTAAATGTTGATTAAAAATTAATTATTGAAATGCTTGAAACATTTTGCCACCGAGAAGAGCATTGAATAGCGAAATTTTTTAACAAGCAACACGTGTACTTTTTTTTAGCGAGTATTTCGTATATATTATATATGTAGATGCATACACGTACATTCATAAGCATGTATATATGCACATATGATAGATAGATACCACTTTGAGCGCAACTAAATCACCTTTCCTTGCAGTTCTCACACAATTGTATGATAAACATAATTAAATTAATTATTGCATATTAAGTAAATTAATAAAAATTATATGTGTATGTATTTGTGTAACTTTTGGGATTTAAAAACTAACTTAAAAATAGTGCACTTTCTTCAAAGCAAATTATTTTATTATTATTTTATTTTTTAAATGTATGTAAGAATGTAATGGAATTCAATTTGAGATTACTAATGCAGACGCGCTTAGGTATTGGAAATCAACAATAATGCCTAGCGGGTATTAAGTAGTTGAAAAACAAAATTATAGATATTTGAATAAAATTGAAAAATATCTGTATAAAAAAAAAACTATTTTAAAACTTTTTTAAACAAAAAAAAAAAAAAATACAATTATATTATAAAAACAAAATTTGAGCAAAATACTTATAAACGAAATTAATGAGCTTAAACATACACAGCTACATATACATATATTTATTGTATATACTTTTTGACAAACACACATTATAAGTGTTACAATAAACATGAGCAGACACAATAAGCAAACCACAAAATAACAGTACATTTAACGTTACATTTTTGACATTCAGGCTAGCTTTATGAACAAAACAATATGTGATAAGCAATAAGAACATATAATATTTATTCTGACTCGATATGCAGAAAAGACAACTTGAAACGGGCTCAGTTTGACAAGTGTGTGTTTATCGTGTGCCTTTTAAAATGCGTTTCGGGCGCACGTATGTATGTAAAATTATTTGTAAATGAAAAAAAAATTATTAAGTAGTATTTTGTTGGTACGTGTATGTGAATGTATGTGAAAAATTTAAAATTTTAATTATAATATACGCTTGATTTTGGATAATGCAAATGATATGTAATAATATTTTTTTTCGTCTGAATTTTCTACGCCTCCGAAAACGTTTACAGCAAAAAGAAAAAAAAAAATATATATTTATATTGAGAGCGAGTACACCGTTTTTAACTTTATTACCGAACATTTTTTTCAGTGTATTTTTATTGTTTGCATGATTTAGCTCTGAGTTGTGACGTGTGCAAGTGAGTGTTTTTTTTACAATAGTAAAACGAAAGCTTCTTTAAGAAATATTATAGAGACTCCTTATCATAGTATTGCAGAAATTTAATGATGAGTTCGAAAAAAAAGCCCGCTTTTAAATTAATTAAAAGAAGTAAATTCAAAATATTGTATTAATGGATGTTAAAAGCTTTAAACGTTAGCGAAAGTTTTGAGTACATTAAAATTTGATCGATTATTTTCAAATTCACTAAATTTAATGTATCGATAATTTTTAAATGTCTTGAGTCTTTATCAAACTTCTCAGCTAGAATTTATAGAACATTTTGAAATTACTTAAAACTCATTCGAATATTTTTCAATGTAATTTTTCAAGACAATGAACGTAATTTTTAAGACAATGACAAATAAGTCTAGTCTATATATGATATTTAAAACCTACAAATCTGGTATGAAAATGTTTTCTTTTTCTTGCTCAAATTATATATTTAATCTACTTGTACCAGCATTGAATTCAGGTTAGCAAATTATTTCAAAAGTAAATCATGCAGTGTTAGATACAAAAAAAAATTGCATTGTAAAATACACTGAAAAAATATATTTTTTGTAAATTACAATGCAAAAATTGCAGCTTCACGTTCGAAAAACATTGAAGTATTTAATTTTGTTTGTGCTTTAACCAGCCGTAGAGTAAAAATTATGTGAATTCCAAATCTAATTTTTTCTCCTTTCCAAATCTTCATATTATTCGACGTGAAAGCTTTTGTGAAAGCTCCATTTACTACTTTATAAAAAATACTTTGTTCCGTCCGCAAACACCTACGTTTCAAGTTTAGTATACGGTTACTATATGTATATTATCTATTGCATTTCGATTTAAAAAAATGTAAAATGAAAATTCTCAGCTTTAAAATCATCGTTTTCGAGTTTCACGAAATTTGTAGTGTGTTTTTCGTATTTTTGTTAGTATTAAAATTTAATTTTTTTTGTTTTCGGGACAACATTAAGCTAACATCGCTGCGACAACGCTAATTAATGTTATGCATGTTGTTGTTGCGAGAGCAATGACAGATGTCGTTGTTGCGGTTATGATGGCAGTTGCAGTTGCAGTTCTCGTTCCGGCTGTACTCGTTGTGGTCATGAATTTAATGTAGTGTTTATGTGACGAGTCGGCCGCCGAATTATAACCGGCCGAATATAATAATGTTCCCAGATTATTATTAGCAGAATCGGACTCACCTCGTGTCGTCTTCATAATAATCGATGCTGGTGATGAGAAACCGATCACATTATGCGCACGCAATTCGATGCGATAGTAGGTGTTGCCGCTCAAACGTGACATTTCGTATGATGTGGTCTCGACAACATCCTCTGAAGCGCATTGATTTTCCAGTTCATGCCAAGCCCCAGCCATTTTAACACCCTAAGAGAGTGAACAGAGAGAAAGAGAGAGAGAGAAATAGGGAAAGCAGGAGTGTTAGTCATATGTTAAAACAATTTTCGGTAATAAGAGCTTCAAAACTAATTAATGATTTCAACTTACTGGACAGTATTTGATTTGATAGAAATCGATGGGTTCACCGTTATCAGCGGGTACGCTCCACCGTAGTTCAAAGTGATCGGAGTATGGTGAAACTACAACGGGTTCTTCCTTGTCGTTTTGTACAGGCGAATGCAGTGGTTTGGGTTCTTCCGGTGCCGAACGTCTGGGTGTCGATTGCTGTTGATTCACACCCCACATGCCTAAACCGACTTGGTTGCGTGCCGCAAAACGGAATTGGTAGGCAGTCTGTGGCTTCAGTCCCTCCACGATGTACGGTGAGTCTGGTGACCAGCTGCGATTTTGTGCCGTCGACCAATCGGGATTAATAGCTTCCTTGTATTGTACGCTGTAAGCCGTGATGGGTAGACCGAGTTCCGTTGGTGGTCCACGTATGTCGAATGTGATTGTTGTGGCGGTGAGTTGACGCGGTATCGCGGCAGCAACTAGATCTGGTACGCGCGCCTCTTTCAATTGCATATCGTGCTCAGCAGTGCCGTGCACATTTGTGGCAATACATTTGTAAACCGAATAATATTGACGAGCTACGGGGTGTACAATGAGATCGCTACGTGGTCCAGTGCCGACAATGACCAGATTCTTATCGAAAGCATCCTTCAGCGGACGTCCATTCCAACGCCATTCGATTGTTGCATTTGGTATGCCTTGCGCCAGACAACTGAGATTAGCCTTACGTTCCTCCCAACTGAATACTGGTGGCAGATCTTTCATGTGCGAGAAGTCTGGTGGGAATTCCACTGTTATGTGTCCAGTCTTGTAAGCGGTATCACCTTTATTGTGGGCTAAACACTGATAGAGACCATCATCATTACGTGTAGTACCCGCTATGCGTAGTGTGCCCGTACTCTCGCCACGTTCCTCATCGAAATGTTGCTCCAAAGTGATACGTTCATCGTCCGCTTGTTGACCGGGTGCATAGTCTTCCTCGGTACCCCAACGTCTGAAGGTGATGGCCGGTGCGGGGCGTCCCTTTGAGCGGCATGTAATGGCAATCTCTTTCTTACTCACACCAGTGACATTGTAGAATTCGTAGATTTGTGGTCGTACAAGTACATTCATTTTCGTCTTTTGATCCACTACGCCGGCATCGTTCTTAGCAATACATGTGTAAGTGCCGTAGTCGTCTTGTGTTACGGAACTGATGGTGAGTAGACCAGTTTGTGGATTCACTTGGAAGCGATCGGCGGTGGCGACATTCTGTTGTGTGGCATCCTTAATCCAAGAGATTTCCGGCACTGGTTTACCGGTTGCAGTGCAGTTCGCGGCAAATGGTTTACCTTTAACGGCTTCGAGTGTGGCTGGTAAGTGGGTAATAACCGGTTGGATGTAGACCTCAACGCGTATTGTACGTTCAAGCAGTTCACCAGTTTCGATCACAGCTGCCCGGCAAGTGTAGATGCCATCATCGGATTCCTGTACATTACGTATGAGCAGACCGTGTGCTTCTACGACGTACTTATCACCAGAACGAATCTGTAAAGAAGAGTGGAAAGTATTCAGGTAGCCGTACAACAGCTTGTGCCTCATCGTAAACGAACAACAGTTGGGAGAGAAGCTTTGGAATGATAAGCTTAAAGAAGCTTTTAATGGCAAAATAAGCTTATCATTTGATTTATATTTTTAAGCTCTAAATGCTCATTAAGTTTCATAAAAATTTTAACTTCTAGAAACCTTTGAATATAATCTTTATTTATTGATTTATTTTTTTAAAGGAAGTAGTAATTACGGTATCAAAACATAATTATTCTTATGATTGTAAAGGGCTAAAACAAGTTTGAAAATATATCACGACCACTAGTTATTCTTGATATTATATTACTTGATGCTTCATTTAGAAATTTTTTTCATCTTTTTCTTCTAAAGTTTGATCTCATGTGATCTTCACCTCAGTAAGTATTCTTTCTTTGAAAGCCTTAAGTACTATTTGGGGCTTAGAATATACACTTCTGAAGTTAAGAAAGCTTTCGCTCAGAAGAAATATTCTATGCCCATGGAAGCTTATAAGTGTTAAAACAGTTCCAATCCGCTGTTTTTGAACAAAGAAAACACTTTAAAGCTCAAAAATGTGTGTTTAAATAGCTACCACTTACAAAAGACGCTTTTTGCTTAAAAAAGCTTGCGAAGATTAGTAAACAGCATGCTGCCCCTGGCTCCAGTCTTACGGAAATAGCGTGAACAGAAGAAAATTACTAAACTTATTAAATCAAGCAAACCAGGGCCTCAAGATTCACTTTTAACCAACAAATCAACTTAATATTTCATTGGTAAAAGGGTCCGGTGGCCTAAAAATTGTTCTTCATGTCAAAAGTACATGTACTTTGGCTTGATTTAAAAAAAAAATTGAAAAATTCTGCTTGACTGTGATCGATCTCTGCAGGAGTTGATAGGCCACTGCTCGAGGTTGGGATTTTCATTTTAGAAGAAGATACTGTAGGAGCTGCCTTGCATAAAAGCTGATTCTTGGAGCTATTTCCCTTAGTTACTCCAATTTAGGGAAGCAGCCTCAATAAACATGTAGCGGAATCGAAGAAAACGAAAACTGAAGCTAAAGAGACTGATCAGCGGTCTTCTAACGCTTACTTACCCTACTAACATATCGTTAAGAAATAAGCTTTATTGGGCTTCAAAAACTCGTAAATTTTGAAATTCGAAAACAAGATATCATAAACTAGTTTCTCAGTGCAAAGAATCGCTTTCAAATTCAGATTAAAAAAGCTAAGCTTTTGCCTAGAAATTGTGCCTTTCAAGCTCAGCAAAACTTTTTAGCTTTAAGCTTTTAAAAGTCTGCGCGTTAGAGTTCTATTAGAATTAAATTGTTTATACTCATCCTGTATGTTAAATTGTGTCAAATACATATTTTAGGAAAAAAATTGATATTATAAAATTAAATCTTTTTAAATTCATTTTAAACCATGCCATAGATAAGCAAAGATTTTAAATTTTAAACGTTTGAAGATCCGCTTATCAGTGCTTTATTGGAATTATTTTGTACGAATCGGTTTTCTTACACTTTTTCGCAACCAAAAAAAGCATTATCTAATCATCAAGGGCTTAAATATTTTTTATAAAACTTTTAAAATGTTCTAAAAAATTATTGATTGAATATAAAATTTAATTGCTTTGAGTTTAATATACATTGCTATATGATAGAAATAACGGTTATATTTGGCAAAATCACTCTCTAAATACTTGTTAACGCTAAATTTCCTGTGGGAATCAGAAATTCTAACACACTAACACGCAGTTTTGTATATATATGCACAGGTATGTATGCGCTTACAATAATACAAAAAACACTTAAGAATTTTGTTAAGTTTCCGCAAAAGACCCAGAAAAGTGTTACGTGACAAGCTAAATTTCAATTTATGCGAAAAGGGAGAAAACTTGCACACTGACAAGTGTGCATATGCACGTGTGTATGTATAAACATAAGTGTATACTTAATATAATATTGTGCCGGCAGCGCGGACTAAAAAAGTTGCAAAGTCTCAAACATTATTATTAAGAGGAAGAAATTCAAGTTTATTTAAAAGTTTATTTTTAGTTCAAACACAACACATACTTTTAGTGTAGAAACGAAGGATGCGTTATATGCATATATATGCATATCTATTTTGTTGTAAGCAACAAGCTTGCATGCGTTTGAGAATATTCTTGTAATATACTCGTATTCACTTTTGCTTGCGCCCTTTCACGAAAGCAAGTTTGCTGCTCTCAACTATTTCTCCCGAAACACGCATACACATAGTCAATCTGCATTCTAGCTTTTGTAGTTTTCAGTTTTTAGTTTTTAGTTCTCAGTTTTCAGTTTCAAATTTTTCTCATCTTCCTTCCCTACACTCTCATGTCAGCACATGCCATACCGTAGTTCTTTTGCTGTCATTGAAATTCCTAAGTAAATCATGAAGTTTTAATAACATCCTTATGCGCTACTTACCGGATCACCGTTGCGGAGCCAGTCTATGGTCGGATTGGGATCGGCCTTCACTTCGCACTTAACCGTGTAGTCTTGACCGAGTATGGGATGTTGATTCTCAGGCGCATTGGTCCATGTGATGGCAACTAAATGGAGAGAGGAAAACATATTTTTTCATGAGAAATTGCAAAACGTATAAACATACATATGTGAATATATCTGTAGAACTCCTCCACCATCTGCAGATGAAGAGTAGGAGTTTGTAAGAAAATTTGTCTACAAATATAAAAAAAAATAAATGCATTTCGCACGAACAGCGACGACACGGCACAGCTGAAGCAGTGTTGTGCAGTTATTTGGATTGGTTGGCAACGCGGTTGTGGGTGTTGCTGTTTAAAAAGTCAAGCAGGCAATGCTTGAGCTTCGGATTGCTTGCTTGTTAACACAAGCTGTAGATGCTAACAATAACTGTTGTTGCTGTTTTTGGCAGTTGGCAGCAAACACAAGATTTTTCCGTCTTTCCTATTTCATCTAACCTTCTTTTAGTTTTCTTATTGTTTTTTTTTTTTTTGATGTTTTTGATTTTTCTGATTTTTCTCTTCAATTTAATTTTTCTTCTTTTTTGCACGCCGACAACTTGAGTAAGCACTTACAATACTTGTAATTTCAGTGTTGCTCGTGCAATTTGTGCAATCATGCAATGCAACACCCTTCCCCCTTCACTCTACGTTATTGTGAATTGTTTGTTGGCTGTTGTTCCTTTGGCTGTAAACCGTCGGGAGCAATTGGGCAGCGCATTGAAATGCCACTTGTCATTTGCTGGTCACCGGTGGCCGGTTTGTCGGCTTGGCGGACGTCGTTGCACCACGTTTGTTGGTTGTGATAACAGGCTAAAAATGTTGAAATTATTTGCCATTTTCTTTTATCACATTTTTTTGTTCCATTTTTTTTTATTTTTATTTTTTACTTTTTTAGCTTCTTCAAGCAATTTCTTCGTTGGTATCTTTTGTGTGTGTGTGTGTGTGTGGGTGGGTATGTGTTGAGCTGAGGGATGTCATTGCAAAGTGCAAATAACAAAAGATTCTATGTATGTACATATATATGTATTAGCTTGTTGTTTTTGTTGCCATTTAAAGCTGCTCCGTGCGTTGTCGCAGCAATGGCAGCTTCTCACTGAAAAGGCAAGCATCTTAAGGTGGCAACTTGGGAAGAGATGGACATACTCATATATACATATTATATATGTAAACATATAATCAGTGTTAGCCAGACATATATGTATGTATGTGTATTAATGCAAGTATTTTCCTGTATCAACATTTATGGCAAGCAATTTGGAATGTATGTTCTTTTGTTGTCATACGTAAATACACAAACATATACTAATAAACTATATAAATATATATATATACATATATGATGTATGTATGCACTTAGAGACCGGCTATTTTGCCATCTTATCAGCACATTAGTGACACTTTTGATCATTCACACATGCTCAGGGGGACACATGCACACATTTACATATTAATACATGCACACAAATACATACATACTCGTATACCCGTAGAGATTTAAATTGCATTATATTTGTTGTGAAAACTACTTTGTTGGCTTTATGCAGATAAGGGCATGGGAAGAGGGTAATTTGTGTGAATTATTTGTTTACAAATAATTACATTTTATCGTCATGGAAAGCAGACACACAGAAAACTGGTTAGAAAGAGTTGAGAAAAGTTATTATACTGAAGTTGTTTTTCATGCTAGAATAGTTTTTTGATATTTTTGAATAATATAATAATAATTTTGATTATGAAATTTTAAGGCATTTGTAAAGCTTTGAGACTTTTAAGAAGTTTTCGCATTTACCTATGTTTTGCTAAAGTTTCGTTAGGATTTTCTTAAGTTTGATTTAAGTTCTACTTACGTTCTCTTAAGTTTTAAAAAATACTTATGAAGTTGTACATAATTTCAGCTGAGTTTTGTATAGGTTTCGTTAAGTTTTATGTAATGATCATCAAGTTTTCGAGTTTCGTTAAGTTTCAACGAACAAAATATGTCTAATTATTACTTATATACTTATAATAGGTTTCGTTAAGTTTTATGTAATGATCATCAAGTTTTCGAGTTTCGTTAAGTTTCAACGAACAAAATATGTCTAATTATTACTAATATTATATATTTAAATGTTGTAAGGCGCCATAAAACTTAACGCAAACATTGGTTCAATCTTTTCAAAGGAAAGCCAACTAAGTTTTTAACATAATAATTTGATTTCAACAAACTTTTATCAAGTTTTCTTAAGTTGTACTGAAATTTTTGTCAAATTAGCATGTTTTATTGGGAGAAGTTAAATTTTATTTATTTTCGTTGAGTTTAACGAGAGTTTCGTTAAGTTTTAAAAAAAAATGTAAAAGCTTTATTTTAATATCTACTACATCTGGCTTGATTTTCCATTGAGGATTTATTAAATTTTAGGCTTCTAAATTTCTAAATTATTAACTTTTCGACAATAGAAAGAAAAAATAAAATTTCGACAAATTTCGTTAAGTTGCATTTAAGTATTGTTAAGTTTTCAACGCTTTTAGTCGAGTTAGTTAAGTTTTACTAAGGCTTCGTTATATTTCATAAAATTTATTTTAAGCTTTATTTGAGTATTGTTAAAGTTTTAAAAAATTTTCTGATTTCAACGTGAGGTTAGCTAAGAATTACCTAATTTTAGTTAAGTTTTTTTTTTTTAATTACGAGTATTTAGTATTTTAAAACTCAAATTATTTGCTAGTTTAAACAATCATGCACCAGGTTCCTTTCCAACTTTTACCGTGACATTTAACAATAACCAAATAAGTAATAAAACAATAACAAAAATAACAAGCTTTTTTGTTCTATTTTAGCTTTTCTTCAATTTTAATGCCTTTGTTCTTATTTTTATAGTTAACTTTTAATATTACAATCATTGGTGATCTCTTGGCATTTTGGTGAAGTCACCAAAACCACTTTCAAACGCATAAATATGTTTGTATGTACATATGTATCGTAGATAAAAAAAAAAAAACAAATTGCATCCAGGAACTCAAAACTTTCTTTCAGTCAACTAAAATTCACAAGCCATTTTGAGCCATTGTATAATTGGTGCAGATGTGCATACTCACACACATTCAACACACATTCATACTTGTTTATTTCTCCAAAGATGTGCGAAGCTGTTTTCAGGGTTTTGCTTACAGATATGTTTTTTTTGGCAAGTTTATCGCTTTTGCTTTCATATTTTTATTTCCGCTACTTTAATTTTTCGTTTTTTCACATTATTTTTTCATTTATTATAGTATTTTTATTTTTACGTTTGTACTTTGTTTTTTGTTTTTATTTTAATTGATGTTTTTATTTTATTTATTTATTTTTTGAGCGATGAATAATATTCAATATTTATTTTAGTTTTAACTTTCAATCAAAATGAAAATGAAAAATATTAAAATTAAAGCAAAATTGGTATCAAAATTGTAATTAAAATTAAGTTATATTATTTTAAATTTATAATAATTCAGTTTTACTTTTAACTTAATTTTTATTTTATTTTATATCCTTTTTTATTTAATTTTGTTTTCATCTTACATATTTTTACTATATTAATATTTCAATTTTTTTTTATTTTTGATTTTATTTTACTTATTTTTACCACATAAATATTTTGAATATTTTTTTTTAAATTTTTTGAATGTGGCTACGCTATCAGACCAGAAACTTTTTTTCCGTTTTTCCAATAAAATTTCCAATTTATTTTATCATAGCAGTCTCAAAAGGATTTCGAAAGTGCTGGCACTTCCTTTACACCTACTCTCTCTCCCCCGCTCTTTCTCTCTTCACGCGCTTTGTGCAAAGAGTTTTTATTTATGCTATTTATTTTTTCTCAATAGTTTCAATACAAGTTATTGGTCGGCAAATGCATAAAATAAAAGTACAATATATGTATGTGCGCATGTGTGTGTGAGGTTGTGTTGAAAACGTGAAAACTTTTATCGGAATTGCACTTGCATTGCTTGTTTTCAGGAAGTGAGTAAGTGAGGTAGAGCTTCCCTACGATTCGCCCTTGGTTTTTTTGAAAATTTCTGAATTAATAAGTCTTTTTTTCTCAACCGTTACGGCTACTTACTTTACTGCTTCGCATGCTGGCTCAAGCAAATGGACAGTAAAAGAAAAGGTCATAAACGTACGAATAAATGCTTTGATTGCGCTCTTTGATTTCAACTTGGCTTTTGTGATGGGTTAAGGGGTAAATGCCGCATATAAAAATGATACAATTCACAAATATTCAATTTTGAGTTTCTATCTGGAATTCATTTAATTTTGAACTGTCTGACAAAATGTGTGGTTTCAACCGATATTTGTTAATTTTGGAAAAAAAGATTTCAAATTTTGATAAAGTTTTGAAATTTCTAAAATAATTGTTAAAACTTTTTGAGAATTATTGTTTTATGACTTTTCTTGTGGTTTATTTTTTTAATGTTAAAATTAAATATTTCTTTTTAAGCGACAAATTAGCGATCTTTGGAAGGTATTGACCGATATTAAAGTATAATTGGTATAAATAAATTAAGAATAATCACAGATTTTGTTTATAACTTGAAACTCGGTAAAAAATAATATCAAAGCCTCTTATTAACTTCGCAAAGCAGCGAATAGAAAACTTGTTATAAAAGTTTGTTTCGTTAATGTTGAATAATGAGTTAGATTGTGAGATTTTCAAAAATTATTTTTAGATAGATTTAAAACAAATTAAAATTTCTGAGCACTTCTCTGATTTTCTAGAATTTCTTTACTTGAAGATTTTTGAAGGCAAATATCAGAAAAGCTAAAAAAAAAATCGATTTTCTTAACCCATTAGACCACATTGGTGTGTATGCGCCTTGACTATGACTATTCCCGGCACTTGTGTCTACTGCACTGTGACCACGACCGCCATTTGCAAGAGAGCACTTAAATTTGCTACGCATTGTCGCATTCGTTGTTGATGCTCCAGCCGGCAAGAGGACAGCGCCAGCCGCAGCCACAGCCATCGCCTGCACTTTGTTCTAGGCGCTGTTGTTTGCAGTTTCGTTAAGTTTCTTTTGTTATTTATATATATTGTTATTGTTGTTGTTATGATTGT